GTCCCCTCTGGATCTCCTGGCAGCTGTTCTGTATTCTGTGGTGCATCCATTGATGAATCCGGTCATCTACAGCATGAGGAACAGGGAGATCCAAGCTGCCCTGAGGAAACTGCTCCACAGGCTGATCCACTCCAGGAACAATATGTCCATCTTTCTTTCATGACTTTCCTTCTCTTATATTTTCCTTTTCTATTTTACACATGAAATTAGTTTTTTTTTCATAGTAATGTGTGAAAAATGCATATTAAAAATGAAGGTGGTAGGTTAATTCTGTCACTTGTAAGGTCATAGATTTGGCTTTTGTCATTTTGGTTGACACTGTTGAAGTGGGAAAGTAATGTTTCATGCATCAATTTTACTGTCTGTGCACCATCTAAAATATATCCCATCAATTGCAAGATAATGAAGAATTAAAGAGTTTTGCTTACTAATTGGTGCCATCAATTATTCAGATGACAGAATATACAGGCAAATCTCCAGATGGTGTGAAACTGGAATGAAATGCAAATGCTTTAGGGGACAGGAATAGAGGTCAGATGGATACAGATAGCTTGGGGAGCTGGGCTTGAAACAATAAGATGAAGGCCACGAAATAAATGCAACTTAGGGGAGAAGAATCAAAAGCACAAATACAATGTAGGTTAAAATTCCTGGGTAGTATCATGGTTGAAAAGGTGGGTCACAGACTCAATATGAACACGGTATTTGATGTAGCTACCGAAATATTCATGCAGTTTTGGGCTGCAACAACAGGAGTATTAGATGTAAAACAGGGGTGTACGTTGTAGCCGTGTGGGTCTAAGGACACAGGCAGACCAGGTTCTTTCTGTGAATCGCATACCTTTGATTAGATCAACTTAAATCGCTGGACATTTTTTTCTTAGCAAGCATTCAGGTTTAAAAGCCAGGAAGAGTGCATACCAAATGCGGATGCTTCTCCAGACTGATGAAGGGTTTTTAAACCTGAAAGCTTACAGGTGAAGGGTTTCCTCTTATCGCTTCTGTAAATAAACTGCCTGCAAATGGTACAGTATTAAATGTCTCCCCACTCCCCGTCTCTGAGGTTTGTGCCTTCTCAGCCGTTCCTCTTCTCAAACTGTCTCCCCTCCCGCACTCACAGTCCGGCACAGCGGATCCCCTCCCCTGGCAGGTCCCTTGTTCCTGCAGCCCCGAGCCCTCCTGGCTCAGACCGGCCTCCCTCCTGCAGGCAGTGGCGCTGCGTAGGGGGTGCACCCCCTGACAGGCTGTGTTCCCAGCTTAGACGATGGGCAGGTGGGAGTGCTGATTCCCTCCTGTGAGTGCCAGACAGGGGGTTGGAGCACCGGAAGAAGCGCCCCGACTACGTTTGGGAGGAGGGGGTTGGGCCATATGACCCTTAGGGGTATTTCCAACGCTATGATTCTATGATGATGCTCAGCATTATTGCTTCTGCTCTAGACTCACAGGTACAAAAATCTGCATTAAGCTATGTATGCATGAGTAAGGACTGAAGCTTTAATATGCCCCCTAACAGTTGTTTAACCTACATTTAAACTTTAGTTTCAGTTAAAAGCAAGTTAGGTAAAAATAGGATAATGAACTTCATGTGTGCACAGAGTAGGTTTCTAAAAAAAAATCGGGAGGACGTTAGGAAAGTAAAGACTATATCATTACGAAATCAGCCACAATTATGCTATTTCAAGTCACTCATGTTAATGCTACTGATAGTGATGTGAACAGATAATTAATCAATAAAATGTGGGTCCCAGCTCAGGTAGGAGAAGGGTATATATGGAAATACTTACACTGGAACCATTCCTAGTTCTTGGTGCCAGATTCTACTTCACTTTATGAGACAAAACTGCGTATATGCAGCCACACACGTACAGTGTTTGGCATTTGCACACAGTTTGGGCTTTCATTTCACTCTGTGATGAAACAGAATTGACTTCCATTAGTACCTAGTGTAGGACCTTCCTAGTCTTTAGCCCTTGCATGCCTTCACACCCTGCCTGTCTCAAAGCTGACCTGCTGTACCTTGGATTTAATACTCTTTGGTTAAATGGAAGAACAGCACCTATCAGAATAGCTTTTGCTCTGACTAGCAATAAATGCTAGGGCAAATGCTGGATAGAATAATCAGAGAACCTCTGGAGGAGTTGAGATGAGGACCTCTAGACAGTGCCAGTCTCTCTAAGACGTTGGATGAGAAAGCTCAGACACAGTGGCTGGGAGAATTTATTCAGTTCATAGTCTCAGCTGAGGCTGGGGCATGTGTGCATGTGTGCGTGTGCGTTTTGGGGTGGGAGGGTGAGGGTTATCAGCTGAGAAGAGTTCAGATGGGTGGGATGTTTTGTGGGTCCTGTCATTCCTCTAGGGGCTTGCTTTAGGAGAAGAGCAATCACAGTTCTTTGAACCGACGTGAGCCGGGGAGCTGCTTTGCCACTGTTCACATGGGCTGGGTAGGAACAGGTAAGCCAGGTATGAAAAGAGTTACTCCAGCCTTCATCCCTGAGCCCGTCAGTCTCAGTCCACATCAAGTTATCTGTATCATTCACACAGAAATAGAGCACGAATGGAGACCTCAGGTGTTAAAGCCATGGACTGTTCTGGTCTCTGAAGGCAACGGGTGGGATCATGATCTGTCTCCAGTTCCCTATGAATGCATATGGGCATCTTTACACATGCTCTGGGGCAGGGGGAAGAGGGTGGCATTTTAGAGCAGGTCTTGGAAGCCACTCTAATTAAAAAGTCTGCAATATCTCACGTACCGAACATCCCACGCTTCAAAACTATGGCCATTTTGATGATCATAGATTCATAAACATTCGGGCAGGAAGGGACCTCAGAAGATCATCGAGTCCAGCCCCATGCCGAAGAGGCAGGAACTCAGCTGGGGTCATAGGATCCCAGCAAGATAAGCACCCACATTTCTCTTGAAGGTGTTCAATGTAGGAGCTTGAACCACCTCCGATGGCAGGCTGTTCCAGACCTTGGGGGCTCGGACAGTAAAGAAATTCTTCCTTATGTCCAGCCTGAAACGGTCTTGCAGTAGTTTATAACCACTTGCCCTTGTCATCCCTTGGGGCGCTCTAGTGAACAGTGTTAAGTTCTCATGCAAAACTGCATAGCAACGAACCCAAATGCAATCTGTTGCCTCCCTGCATCCTAAGGTGCCCAGTCCGACTAACAGGGACAACTGAGCAAGACAGAGAAGCTCAGAGCCTTTTCGGAGATCCCATGACTTGTGTTGTGAGGGAGATTAAACCAGAGCACAGCTCTGCTGTTCTGCTAACATCTGTACAGCTCAGACTGTTTACATCTGGGCTTTTCCTTCTGAGCTGTGCAGGACTCCAGGGAACGAGTCCCAGGAGTTTTCAGAAGAAAACTACTGAAAAATAGCCGTCTTGCTTCACTCCTTTTCTACAAGGCAGGGTTGAGGTCAGCTGCGCATTCAGAAACCTGGTTGGATTCACTTCAGTCGTTCAGTGACAGGGGGAGCAGAAAAATACCTCTGAGTTAGCTGTGCTTCTGTGGACCTAGACTAGTGGTTGGTGCAGAGGAGAGTTCAGAGATCAACTGGACAAGAGCAAAGGAACTCGGCAGGAGACGCCTGAATGTGACGCAAAAGATGAGGAAACTTCCACAATAACAATTTCAGTAAGTTTGCTGCATCGATGAAGTGTCCTGTCTTAGTAAGATGCAGAGGAGATTTTAAAGCATTAAAAGTTGGAAAACCTGGCTACACAAATCATTCTGCATTTTATGTATAATAGATTCCAAGGTACAAGCGTGAACGAAGACATTTTCAATGTTTTTGCTATGAATGCAGACAATATTATAGAGCATATTGGACGTAGGGTGGGAAGAGGAGAGGGGTGGGATTGGGACCTCTAAAGAATTAATCTTTTTTATATAATATCTTTTATTTCATACATATTTGTTTCCAGCATACATTTTCTAGGTGACATCTATTGAAAAAAACGATAGACTATCAGATTTAAAGCAAAGGAAAAAAATCCTGAGGTGTGGCTGGGTTAACATTTTCTTCACTTTCTAAAGGAATATCAAAATATTTTATTTTATGTAGCGTCTTGCCAGGGAAAAATCATTTATTAAAATCAAATATTTCATGGGAAGAAAAATGGAATATTTCCATTCTTAGCATGAAATTTGGAGACATTATTGATGGGAATATCAAAGCCACTGAGTTTGTTACTCTCCTCCTTACCATGGCCCTTGTTCTATTATACCCAGGACTTGCACAGTGCCCTGGGAAGGAAGATGTCCAACTGGACCACTGTAACCAAGTTCCTCCTCCTGGGCTTCTCGGACACTCGGGAGCTGCAGATCTTATACTTTGTCATCTTTCTGGCAGTGTACCTGGCAGCTCTGGTGGGGAACCTCCTTGTTATCACTGTTGTAACTATGGACCACCACCTCCACAGCCCCATGTATAGTTTTTTGGCAAATTTGTCCATCCTTGACCTTGGGACCATCTCCGTTATTGTCCCCAAGTCCATGACCAATTCTCTCTTAAACGCCAGGACAATTTCCTACGCTGGATGTGTGGCCCAGGTCTTTCTCTTCTTCCTCTTTTGTTCAGCCAATCTTGCATTCCTCACCATCATGGCATATGACCGGTACGTTGCCATCTGCCAGCCACTGCATTATGGGATAATAATGAACAGGAGAGCTTGTGTCCAGATGGCTGCCGGTGCTTGGGCTGCTGGTGTTATCAACTCTGCAATGCACACTGGGAACACCTTTAGTCTCCCCTTCTGCCACTCAAATATCATCAACCAGTTCTTCTGTGAAATACCCCAGCTGCTCAAGCTCTCCTGCTTTGGCACATACCGCAGAGAGCTGGCAGCTCTTGCCTTCAGTTTGTTTTTATGTTTAGGCTGTTTTGCTTTCATCGTTGTGTCGTATCTTCAGATCTTCACCGCGGTGTGGAGCATCCCCTCGGAGCAGGGCCGGCAGAAAGCCTCCTCCACCTGCATTCCCCACCTTATCGTGGTCTCCCTGTTTCTTTCCACTGGCATCATTGCCTACATGAAGCCCGTCTCTGACTCCCCATCCCCTCTGGATCTCCTGGCGGCTGTTCTGTATTGTGTGGTGCCTCCATTGATGAATCCGGTCATCTACAGCATGAGGAACAGGGAGATCCAAGCTGCCCTGAGGAAACTGCTCCACAGGCTGATCCCCTCCAAGAACAATATCTCCATCTTTCTTTCATGACTTTCCTTCTCTTATATTTTTCTTTTCTAATTTACAAATTAACTTAGTCTTTTTTCATAATATTGTGTGAATCTTGCATATTAAAAATGAAGGTGGTAGGTTAATTCTGTAACTTTGTAAGATCAAAGGCTTGGTTTTTTTCATTTTGGTTGACACTGTTGAAGTGGGAAAGTAATGTTTCATGCATCAATTTCCCTGTCTTTTCACCATCTACAATATATCCCATCAATTGCAAGATAATGAAGAATTAAAAAGTTTTGTTTACTAATTGGTGTAATCAATTATTCAGATAATAGAATATACAGGCAAATCTCCAGATGATGTGAAACTGGAATAAAATGCAAATGCTTTAGGGGACAGGAATAGAGGTCAGATGGATACGGATAGATTGGGGAGCTGGGCTTGAAACAATAAGATGAAGGCCACGAAATAAATGCAACTTGCTGCACATAGGGGAGAAGAATCAAAAGCACAAATACAGCCTGGGTTCAAATTCCTGGGTGGTATCATGGTTGAAAAGGTGGGTCACAGGCTCAATATGAGCATGGAATTCGATGTAGCTACAGAAACATTCATGCAGTTTTGGGCTCCAACAACAGGAGTATTAGATGTAAAACAGGGGTGTAGATTGTACCCATGTTGGTCTAAGGACACAGGCAGACCAGGTTCTTTGTGTGAATCTGATACCTTTTATTAGATCAACTTAAATCGCCGGAAACATTTTTCTTTCTAGTAAGCATTCGGGTTTAAAAGCCAGGAAGAGGGTATACCAAATGCAGATGCTTCCCCAGCCTGACGAAGGGTTTTTAAACCTGAAAGCTTGCTTCATCTTTTGATTTCCTTCGGGCTCTGACTGCAAGGGTTCAGGGCAAGGATGAGAACTACATACATTAGGCAGCTCAGTCAGTTTGGGCCCACAGTAAACCATGAATCAAGTCTCTTTTGCACCACAAGGAAGAGGATACACAAGGAGAACATTCATGGAGATTTGGTTATGGAGACATTTTTATTTCTGATGCAGACAGAGGGGTTGATTTTCCAAATGGCAAAAGAAACGATTCAAGGCTGAGGTAGGCATACAATTGAAGAACAGATTCTCATTGATTTGTGTTAGAGCACATCATTTTCCACCAAAGCCTTGAGGTCCGGTGATCAGAGGGCTAGGACGCTGAAAAGTGCTCTAGCATTGTTGGGTGCCTAACTACATTTGGCTGGTTTGCAAAAAGCTGTCTCATTAACTCCAAGCCTTCATACTGTGTTTGGTCATAGTAAGGGAGGCTTACCAGATCACTGGGAAAAAAAATTCAGGGCCATAAATATCTGTTCACCACTTCTTAAACAGGTTGAGGGTTGTTTTTTTTTAAAAAAAACAAACAAAAACAACCCTAAAGAAATTACAATGCTTACTTTAAATGAGATTTAAGGTCTCAAACTCACTTGCCTGTTTCAAAATATTCATAGGATCCTAGGACTGGAAGGGAGAGTATTGCTTTCTCCTATAATATGTTC